AAACAACACACATGAAATATACAACATGTTGCAATGTTTCAAAATCATGTTTCATGTGATATAAGTTCACGAATGGATGCATGATGCTCATGTTCATGAAATGTAGTGCAAATGTGGAAGCCAAACACCTGGGGTGTTACAGCCCTCCCCCTTTATAAAAATCTCGTCCCGAGATTTGAAAAGCGTACCATTGTTGATAGAATTCCTTATAACCATCCCTCAAATAATCTTCCCTTTCCCACGTTGCATCGCGTTCACTACCCTAATTACTCCACATGACTTTGTAGAACTTGACCACTCGACTCCGAGTCACTCGCTCACGAGTGTCAATCACTCGAACCGGCTTTTCTTCAAAGGTCAAATCAGATTTTAACTCGATATCCCCCAGTGGAACTCTCTCTTCAGGGACGCGAAGACATTTCTTCAATTGGGATACATGAAAGACATTGAAGATAGCACTCATCTCTGAGCTCATCACAGGCTTTTGTTTTCTTATCTACGTACGTATATCTTCAGAAATGGTCACTGCTTCCTGCCACTGTTGTCGATAGCATTACATGCAATAATAATAGACAAGATCCATTCATGCGTCATTAGCCCTGAGGAGAGCTACTACGACAGGCCTGCAGTAGCAACTAGGCCGCCCTACTGTATATGCGGTACTCCGTGCATCGATGATCTGTGACCGGGCCCTTTCTGACTGTTCCCCCATGCAGTCCTGGACTCCTTGTCCTGCATCTGCATGCTGCACGGCGCTTGCACAGAAAAGTGAAAGGCATCCACGCCTATAGTAGTCGCAGTCCAGTCCTAGCATTACTCCCTCCACCAAACAACAGGCGCAACGCAGCAGCAGAACTGCATGCACCACGCGTGGATATGCTCATGCTGTGATCGATCTGCCAATGCAGAAGCCAACAAGGATGATTCGTCAGTCATCAGTCATCACCGGTCGATCGATCGATCAGCTACATGGATGGGGCAGCCGGGCAGGGCTGGCAGCTTGACATCGATGGCAGCGGTAAAGCTATCGCAGGGTTTGCAGGTGCTGGCCACCAATGCACATGCACCGTCGATCGGCAGCGGTGCATGGCATGGACGCACGCGCACTGCGGCATGGCCTGCAACCCAAATCCAGAGCAGACGTAGTAGTGTACGTATATTTTCACCGTCGTAGGAGTATAAAGTTCTGCTCATCGATGTGTACGCAAGGTCAGACTAGTCAGTAGTAGAGCTCACTGTGCTTTTCGAGGCCGGGCTGACCAGCAAGGCTGCCAATATGCTATTGTGTGCTGTGTGCCTGTGTAAAGCCCTCAGCTCCGATCGTAGTTACAGCCGCGAGCTCCGAGCTACTACGGGCGTTCTAGCTAGCAAGGATCTCGTGCTAGGTCCATTAGTGGAGAGATCGCGATCGCTCGGACCGGGGCCCTGCAAATGTACGAGCACGTGGCATGCATGGATCGTCGACGGAGTAGTCGAGTACTCCTAGAGGAACAACGATCAATTGACCCGGCAGCGGGTATCAATTGTCATCGATACGTACTCCTTCAATCAATTGGATTCGCCGCTCTATGTAATTCCCGTGGGGGCGCGGCTTGTCAACAATTGCGCGCGTGATCGCAGTGGCGGCAGACCACGCACGCGGGCACAAAGCATGGTGCATCCGTGCATGGAGGCAGGGCCGGGAGTCTGGGACGGCACACCGACGGAGGCCAGCGGGCGTCGCCCCGTTCCTCTGTTCGTGTGACGGTTGCGCGCGGCGGGCTCCACTGTTCCACCAGCCGGCCAGCCGGCCCGCCCGACACCAGCCAGCGGTGCCCACTGCCCAGGCACGCGCGGTGGACAGCCGAACCAACGGGAGGGCGCGCCGCGGCTGCCGGCCGGCCGGTGCGCGCCTTCAAGTTGGCGAGGACAAGCGGCGACCAGCGTACGCGCAGGGTGCACAGTCGTGCGCGCAGTGCACAGGCTGAGGCGCGCGCGCGCCACTGCGCCAGGACAAAGACGACTGAACGCAGCGGGAGCACCCTCACCCTGCGTCGGGGTTGGCGTTTTCTCCGTGGACGTGCTCGCGCAGACGGCCGGCCGGCCGGCCTTGCCAGTAGGCAGTAGGACGGACCACGCGCGCGCTAATCAACGTGCGTACGCACGGCCTGGTCGCGCGTGATAATTGTGGTGCTGAATTTGGTCACGACTATGATCCAAAAGATGCCTTCTGATCCGTCATCAGATGGGTGATGCTCTGCTCAGCTGTAATGTAACATGGGAGACAAGAGGACACTGTAGCACGTATCATCAACCTGATCCGTCGTGTGTTTACAGGAAGAGCCCCATGCATGCAGGTCGTTGAACATTCATGAGCCGGCTCCGCAGGCTGCAGGGCACCTTACATCCTTAAGCGTATCTTGTCGTTCCCTAGCTAGTAGTGCTTGTACAATGCTGGGCGCTTCCTGATTGCTATTGGCCGTTAAATCATTATTCTACCACGCTGGAGTCCAGCGCAGACGACTTGGGGCGCTTATAGCGTGTTTGGTTTAAGGAGTAGATTCATCCGGCATGAGCTCATGCAGCATGGGGTCATCCAGCACTTTTCTGACGGATCAGGTCGTTCCCACTGATTGGCTTGGGGAAGCAGGTCCGATTCGTCGCTTCATGCCTTCATGGGGCAGTGACGCTTGGACCGGCCCTTGCATGGCTTATAAGCCATGGTTTATCAGCCAACGAACAGTATTTTTCTCTCACACCAAACCAGACAACAGTACTTTCAGTCATGGCTTATCAGCCAAATAAACCGAAACGAACAGGACATAGAGCTGGGCGCTCGAAAAAGGGATCCGCATTCGACGCAAAACGACAACAATAGATTGCTCCTAGTTCAAAGCAGAGGAGGAACAATTACATTGCAACGTATGAATAGCAAATCATTCGAGCTGGTGGCAGCGAAATAAGTCCCTTCAAGACACGGTTTGCATTGATGTTAATAATATCGCTGATGGTCTGACCTTTATAAACAGCTATGCCATTGCATAGATCTATGCCCCAAAGCTCTACAGTTAGGAGTACTCAAAGGCAGGTAGTTCTGAAGCAACAAGAAGGTAAGCAAAGACAAGTAGTTCTGAAACAACAAGAAATCAAGCAGCTGCTACGAGTGAAAAAAAAATTGATACTGGAGTGATCGACCATAATTCAAGGGCGGTGAGAATCTTGGAGGAGCTGCAACACAGCGCCTCCCCTGCCATCTGTCTTTCTTGACGTTTGGGAGTTCAAAACCATTTCTACAGATCCCTTTGGAGTAGCATGCGAGCTGCATGACAAACCATTTCTACAGATCCCTTTGGAGTAGCCAGCGAGCTGCATGACGACGACAACGACGAGAAGGACGGGAAAAGGGGAAGGGAACGAGAAGGGAAAGGAGATAAGCCATTAAATTTTTTTTTAAGGGTGTCTTAGATGCCGTTGTCCATTGTAGCAAAAGACGTTTAGAACGAACTCTTGAGTTAACCTAACTTGCTTGTTAAGCGCCTTCAAATATTTTTTGCGTTGTAGATGAAGTTCTTATATAGTTGTTTCATTGTTTGCTAACACAGTATTTTCCCTCTCCCTCTAAGCGTCTTTATAACAGTCTTTGCATTGTATGTGCCCTTAGAGAATGAATTGGGCTTTTCACTTTCATAAACCCTCCTTCAACTATGCATACAAGAACCGGTAGTGAAACCAAAATACTAAATCAGACACTCAAAATGCAACAATCCGAACATAGTTTTAGAAATAGAGAAACATTTGGCCCATCAATGTACTTTAAAGTGAGAATTAAGTACTAATATCAAAGCTTGCCGGGGATTAGTAGCGATAGGTTATGGTCATGAACCGTAGCGATAGGTTCAAATAGTTATAGCACCGGATTTTGTCGTTATAGCCATTTAGCCGGTAGTGACGCCATGGTAATTATAAGAGAAGTACGCCTCACTTTTGTCATAGTTAACATAGAGAAGCTAATTTAGTGTATACATCCATAATGTGTGTCACCATGTAGGCCACATATGCATGTATGCAGGAAACGTTGAGCATATTGTTTTTCATGTTAAATCCATTGCTGGCGATAAGGTTCCAACCAAGCAAATAATCAAACAAACATGTATGTAGGAAAGCACGACCCAAAAAAGAAATTTGAATATATGAAAGGAAAAACATATGGATTAACTACAAACTACAAAGAATATGTATGAGTATTGTGTCAGATTTCAACACATCGAGTAGCCTGTCATTTTTCACTAGACAATGCATCACACAATACCACCAAATTAATGAACAATAGACTTCACATGCTAATACCATGGAGAAATGGAAACTCCGTTTTACACATGCTAAAGACTGTCAGATTTTAGAGTGAGAATAAAGAGCCAATATATGGAGGGAGCAGATGTCTCAATGTGAGGTCAAAATGTGTTGACATATAGGATGCTATAGAGCAGAATGGTGTTAAGTGTGGTACACGACATTAGATTGCGTATCCTAACAAATGACAAGACGAACGCAACAACAACACAAAGACATGCCCATTTACTCATGTTTCCATTTACCGAAGTCATAGTATCTGCCAAACATATAAGAGCAAGTTATAGCTTGCAAAATGGTTGATGGTGGAACCCCTACTTAGATAGTATGACTCGTAAATGGAACTCGTAAATGAACTAAGTGTAAAGAAAATATGTTAAATCGTACTAAAATTTGAACAGCATAAGATAACTGCACGATTGCATGCGCCACTTTGCTAATTATGTGTGCATACGGTTTTGGTGGTGGAATTTTAACACTTCCAACGCCCATGCTCATTGGTTCCCTAAATCCCTAACCCTAACCGTGGCTCTGCTCTGGCCTCTGTATATATAGCCGCCGCGCCTGCAACCACCATACCCATATTCATTCTCACTTGCCCGCACTCCAAAGTTCAATCCCTTCCTTGCGTACTTACGTTCCCTCTTGCGTGCGTGGCCCTTGCGTTTACCATGGCCATGCAAGCGCGGCACCACTCCCTGTTCTTGGACGAGTACGCCGGGTGCGTGCCAACGTCGCCGGCGGTGGGGATCGGGGACACGCCGCTGCTCAGCGACTTCCCAGGCAGCGAGCTTAACTTCGAGCGCTACGGTTTCTTGACGAGGAAGCGGGCGCGCATGGCGCCGGCCGGGGGTCTCTCGGAGGATCAACGCGTGGTTCTGCCCCCGACGTCGGTGATGCAGGGGCTGGTGCAACTACCAATGACACCCAGGAACCTGATGGGCTCCGGCGCGGCGGCGTCCACAAGTGGGAGTGGGAGGGAGATCGACGCGCTGATAGGAGTCGAGGTACGTGCTGGTGATTGATCGGAATCGACTTGCTGATTCTGTGGGACCGTGCCTGATTTGCTTTATACGGTTGTGGTTCGGTCGGTGTTGTGCAGAGCGAGAGGATGCGCGCGGCGCTGGAGGCGGCGTGGCGGAGGCACGCGCGGGCGCTGGTGTCCGCCGTGGGGCGAACAGCGACGGGGCGGATGCGCGCGGCGGAATCCGAGCTGGACCGCGCGCTGCGGCGCAACGCGGAGCTGGAGGAGAAGGCCCGGCAGATGGGCGCGGAGTGCCAGGCGTGGATGGGCGTCGCCAGGAGTCAAGAGGCCGTCGCCGCCGGCCTCCGCGCCTCTCTGGACCAGCTCCTCCTCCAGTCGCCCTCCTGCGCGGCCGCCGCTGCGGCGTCGGCGACCGGCGGCGGCGCCTGCGAGGCCGAGGACGCTCGGTCGTGCTGCTTCAAGGCTCCGGCGTCGGCCGTGGACCACAGGGGGGCGCAGGTGGCGGCGGGGAAGGCGTGCAAGTCTTGCGGCGGCGGCGAGGCGTGCGTGCTGCTGCTCCCGTGCCGGCACCTGTGCCTGTGCCGCGCCTGCGAGGCCGCCGTGGACGCGTGCCCCGTCTGCGCCGCTGCCAAGAACGCGTCGCTCCTTGTCCTGGTCTCTTGAATCCTACAAGCGGGTGAGCTCATCAATGGTCATTCGCGAAAGGCCGCCATCGATCGTTTTGAGGGGGAGATGAGCGACTGCTGGTGGATGAGCCGACCGATGAGGTGAGGTGAGACGCCACAACAGCTGCTCCACGCCCCACACCACGTTTGCACGTCCGATCTGATGGTGGTGCCTTGGATGGCATGGCATGGGCGACGACGAAAGATCGCGGTACGGCCTGGCCCCGAACGCCGTGCAAGCGACCTATGAATGGAACAGCAACAATGCAGTACGGAGGAACTGTTTGTGATGACTTGTTCCTCCGGGCCCAGCCGTGCCGAAACAAGCAAAAGGAAAGGTATACCATACCCATGTGTTTTAGAGCCATCCAACACACGTTTTTAAGGCCGTATGATCTTCCCCAGCTCGAGCACGCCTTTGTCCGATCTGTGCCCGCGCCACCACTGTGGCCTCGCCGTGCCGTGCCCGTGCCCGCCCATGCCTGCGCCGCCGCCGCTCCCGTGCCAGCACCGCCGCTGCGCCCGTGCCACCCGTGCCCGCGCCGTCGCAATTTGTTGCTTGTGATTTGTGCCGACACAGCCGCGATTTGTCCTTGTCATTTCATAGAAAAAAATTATTTGTTGTGATATGAGATTTGTGATTTGTTGTTGCTTGTGATTTGTGCCGATATAGCCACGGCCAAGGGCGGGGCGGCCGACTGGCGGTAGGGGCGAGTTTGTGCAGTGTGTTTGGAGGTAGAAGAAGTTTGGAGGTGGGAGATAGAAGAAGGCTAGAGGCCGTTGGATCTTCATCCTACGGTTCAAAAAACCATGCGTTAAAACTACATAAGACATATGGTTATGCAGTAGACAGACTCAACAAGCAAAGCACATGGCCTGGCATGGCGGATCACATTCACATACGTTCGGTTAGCAGCAGCTGTATACACAGTACGCCGGAATGTAGACAGTCTCTGGTCGAGAAGAGTCATCAAGATAGTAATCAGTGGAGTTAGTATGCTGGAAGGATTGATTGGTATTGGTATCTGCTGGCTGCTGGTCCTGTCGACTATAGACGGATGCGTCAACAAACAGCCTGCTCGGTTGGCTGGTTCGTATCGTTACTGGTTCGTGGAGAAGTACTGCTGGCTGGTTTGTGTGAGAGAAAAATACTGTTCCGGCTGAAAATTTACGATCATTTACGACAAACCACAGCCAAACGAACAGTCTACAAAGCTCTGGCGGGGAGAAAGGTATCGGCGAACAAAGTGCGATGATGGGCACGACCGGGCGAGAAAACAAGCGCATCGTCATCTCCCGTCGCTGTATCGTTCCATTTTCCTTGTCCGTGTCCGCGTGTGCGGCTGCTTGATTAATTAAGTTGCACATGGCAACAAGAGGTCTCCCTCGACGTGACATGCGTGAATTGATGTCGTTCGCCCATAAATACACATACTAGTCCATTATTCAGTTTCTAGTTGGTGTTTTGGTCTCTGTCACTCGCTCTTGCTCCCACGGATCGGAGGCAGGGAGAGCCAAAGAAAGATGACCGGGCGATAGGGGTCCGTCCACGGGGGGAGAAAGAATTGATCTGTTTGGCCTGCCGTACGTGTGAACGTAGAAGGTGCCGTGTACTATCCCTATCCCTATCGCTGTCGCGGCGAGAGACTGACTGGGTCGGCGGGTCGCGGTAGCACCACCGGTAGTTTCGTGCGAAACACGAACTTGCTTGTTTGTCCATGCTGCGCTCCGGTGCTGATCCATCCATTACATGATGCTGGCGTGTGCGTGTGTTGCCGTCAGGGTCAGGCCCACTCACAATTCGATCAAAGCTCACAATGCATCCAAGATCGCAATGTCTGGCTTGGTCTCATCTCAGCAGCAGTTTCGTCCACGAGTTCTTTTCCGGTCGAGCTCATGCTTGTGTCGTCGGCACATATACTTCTTCGGACCTGGCTACAGAGGAAGCAGTTGATCTGCTTTAGTTTAGTTATTATTATATATAAAAATCCGTTTGCCAAACACCTACGTAGGCTCATGTACACGACGCGTAGGGTTTCAATCAACACTGTTTTCTATTTTGCATTTTGCAGATCTGAAAACTCTGGTATTTCTAGTGTAGTCGCCAACTCACCATGTAGCTTTCGGTAATAGAAGGAGTGACTCACAAGTTCTACACGCATGTCCCTTTTCAACTCTGTGTGCTCCTGCAACGACTAGATCTTGTATGCGAGCCGAGCATAGCTTCGCTCGTTGGATTCATTATGATCAGGGCTAAAAACGAAGCTGTACCACCAAAGAAGCTGGTTTGGCTTGGGTGCATTTTTTCATAGGAGTGGGCTGGGCTGGGCGCTAGAAGATTCGAAACAGGTTAGTTACGAAGTGAGTTGGTGTTTTCTCCGTAGAACCCAGCCCACGCGCCCTGCCCTTTGGTGTTTTCTCCGTGGACATGTTCGCGCAAAACTGTGCGGCTGGCTGGGGCCTCGCCTGTTTTTAGCGCCGATCAACATGCGTGCGTACGGGCTGCGTGTGATAACTGGGGCGCTGAATTTAATCACGATCCTGATCCAAAAAGATGATGCCTTGTGATCTGTTGCCAGACGGTGCTCTGCTGCGTGCGTGCTATCTGCTCCATGCCTGCATCCTGTGGTAGGGACAGGAGGCGACTACTGTGCTGCTTTGTACCACTAGCACAACCGCTAAACCTGACGCCGAGGCCTCCCTCCTGCTTTGGTTGTTGAGCCACTTCCCAATTTACCAGACATTTGGCACCACTGGTTTTATCAGTTTCGGTCCATAGAAATGCACGGCGTCTGCTGTCGATTACCGAAAGAATTCCGAGCGGCAGTGGTAGAGCTTGCATGATGTAGTTAACTAGGCCAACCAACACCGAATTGATCAGTACAAGCCTTCCCTGGTGGTTCAGCAGAGCAGCCTGCCAACTCGCCAAGCGGCGGTCCACCTCGCAGATGAGAGGTGCGAAAGCAGCAAGGTTGAGTTTGACATTTGATAGTGGCAGTCCCAAATACACCTCAGGAAAGGTTGATTGCTGGCATTGGAGGATGCGGACAATCCGAGTTAAGATGGGAGCAGCAACATGCATTGGAACAAGAGTGCTTTTGGAGAAATTGATCTTCAGACCAGTTGCCAAAGCAAAGTCATCCAGAGTCTTTTTCAGTCTGCGGATGTCGGTGACCTCAGCGCGAACAAGTAGTAGAGTATCGTCAGCATACTGAAGCACTGGGCACGGGCAATCCAAGGCCGGGTGGCGAATGCCCGAGTTCGACTTGATGAGCTGCTGGAGGACGTCTTCAACCAAAAGGAACAGATAGGGAGATAGGGCATCTCCCTGCCGCAGGCCACGCTAGCAAGTGATCCAGCTTCTAGGGCAGCCGTCTACAAGGACTGCCGAATGGGATGTGTGAAGTGAAGTAGTGTCCGCATCCATGTCAACCACATATCCGGGAATCCTCTTGCCATCAGTATTGTCAGTAGGCTTTCCCAGCAAACAGAGTCAAAAGCCTTGGCGAAATCCAGTTTGATAACAGCAGTGGGGAGTTTCTTACGGTGACAGTATTGGACAAGCTCAGTTGCATAAACAAAATTCTCTGAGATGGATCGGCCCTTGATGAAACCGGTCTGATCAATATCAATGAGCTTCTGAATATGCTGCTGCAGTCTTGATGTTAAGATTTTGGTGATGATTTTCACCGGGCGATTCTGTAGGGACACTGGTCTGAAATCTTTTGGTGCAGTAGCGCCTGCACATTTGGGGAGGAGGACAATATAAGCCCTGTTGATCCGGCAGAGGTCCACAACACCATTCTGAAAAGCCCACAGCAATTGCATGACATCTTCCTTGACTGTTGCCCAGGCAGACGAGTACCAAGCTGGTCCGAAGCCATCTGGTCCAGGGGCACTGTTGATGTTCATACAACGAACAGCCTGCATTGCTTCCTCCTCAGTGAATGCATCCACCAAACCTGACAGATCGTAGTTTGTGCTTGGGTAAAGAGCAGCCAAATCAAAATTCCAGGACGGTTGATCTTGCACTCCAAGAATATTCTTGTAGTAGTCTGTTAAAGCGGCGTTGTGGCTGGATAGCTCGGTGTCGTCCACTGTAATCACAGAGATGTGGTTTTTCCTTCGACGGCAAGAGGCTCGGGCATGGAAGAACTTAGTGTTGGTGTCTCCCTCCTGCAGGTATTTCATCTTCCCCGCTGCTTCCAGTAGGCTGCTCGTTGGCGGAGGAATAGGTGCAGGCGTTGTGCACATTGATCCCGCAGGCAAAGTTCACCTGGAGAAAGAGTCCTTCTTTATTTGAAGTAGTTAAAAAGGCATATAATGAAGTGGCAATTGTGATAGATAGAGGGGGGGAGAGCGATGCTTACGTAGCCAAACCTTTGTCGCTTGCCTTACCGCCTTGACCTGAGCAACCAGAACCTGTGCCTTATCCCCGAGACGAGGGACAGACTGCCAAGCCGGGGTAACGGAAGGGAGGTAGGAGGGATCAAGTAGCCACGATCTTTCAAGTCGAACGGATTTAGGCTTTGGGATGTTGGTTTGGATGGAAGCAAGGAGAGGAGTGTGGTCGGAGGTGGGGCGGTTGCCAGAGTGTAGTGTGGTGCCAGGGAAGGCGTCACTGAAGGCAATGTTAATGAAAGCTCGATCCAATCTAGCAAGAGTAGGAGTAGCCCGTTTGTTGGTCCAAGTAAACAGCCGGTCCAGGAGGGGTAGCTCGATAACCTGAAGCGCATCAATGGCGTGGTTGAATCTAGTGGCGAGGCTAGAATTGAACGACGGCGTGTTCTTGTCAGAGCGAGCCCGAGTGAGGTTGAAATCACCAATGAGAATCCACAGGTCCGAAATGGTTCCGGCGACGGTAATAAGCTCCGCGAGAAAGAGATCGGTGAAACTGTGGTCCGAAGGACCAAAGACATTGGTCACGGCGAATCGGAGGTCGGAGGTGGTGGAACGGAGGAACGCAGTAGAGGTGAAGTCGAAGGAGAAGTGGCCAGT